CCACGGCCTTTATTATAATAACGCAAATGGCCGCCTTCTTGGGTCTCCATCTCGGTATAATATAAATTACACCAACGACCCGGAAAGCCGAGTACTTTGAAAATCATGACCGTTTCTCAACCTCTGGCGGAGGCATATCGACGTTTGTCGTATCACCCGGAAATAACTTCTCGGAGAACACCCTGAAGTAATGCATCGCACGTCAGAAAGGGCATTTCTCACGAAACAAAGAAAAGACATCCATTTCAGGCGGCGATGCTATGAAAAAACGATGAAAAAGCCTTGGATACATGCCCAATGATTTTAGGGCGGTAGTTTTTAAATTTGTCAATGTCGGTACTTTAATTCATCAACTATTTTTCTACCGCTCTTCGAGGTTTTGGGATGCACCGCGATAAGTTGATTAAGCTAGACTTCCTTGGCGTTACCTTGTAGAAGGCTTGGAGAAATCGCTTTTCAAGGAACTCAATTATCGCCTGATTAGGTTTGGAGTAGATGGGGATACCGAGTGGATATGTTGGGTGGAAAAGCCACAGCTAATTTCAAAGAGAGTCTCCGGTCTCCTCAAGTTTGCCGCAGAAAGACCGCTGGAAAGGCCTGTTGTTGGCAAATACGAGTTTCTAAGTTTTACTAACAATTTACCAAAGAAGATCTACGTACTTAATGTAATAATAACAGTAATTTTTATTTAGTATCTTTTCAGGGTATTTTTTAGAATCAAAAAGTTGTAGATAATCCTGTATATGTCAGGGGTACATGGGGGGGCATGTACTTATACCGTTTATTTTTAGGACTTCCCAGGGCTGAGATCAGAAATTCGGGTAGGTATGTACAGGAGTTTATTTCGCACGACGGTTCCATGCAAGTGCTCGTTACATACGACATATTACATCGCGGGGCAGAGTGTTCGACGAACATCAAAGTTACGCATAGAATATGCGATTGAATCGTCCGAATTTGCGGATGTAGCGGGTAGAGCCATCGACGTCGCGTTGCAAATTCTGCTTCGATTGATTCCTCGTGCACTTTGCAGCGAGGAATTCCTAAATCCTGCTTCCAGCCAGAATCTACCCTGGTTCGAATTCGTAGATAGACGATAGGAATTGGGGAATATGTAACGGTATTTCTGTATAACGGTTACACAATAATTGCACGAAGAAAAATGAGCGAGGAAGTGAGACTTCTGCCGAGGACTGTAGGAAAGGAAATAGTACTTTGATTCAACGTGTTGAGGTAAAATGAAACGAATGATTCGCTTCGTATAATAGATTATAAGAATTTAAAAATATAATTTAATGCAATTTAAACGAACCTTTGTAATTGCTACGATCTTTTCTTCCATCCGCTCATCATTGAACTATTTCCCTTCCTACCCAGTCATCGGCGGAAAATTCGCTTCCAGCGTATGCAAAACCAATCATTCGGCATCGTGAATTAAAATTAATTTTATTATTCAGAATATTGCAATGGCTAGAGCGTTAGACAAAATTCATTGGCGCTCGAGAGTATCGGTGGAATAAAAATGCGAGAATCAAATTGGGATGCTACCGTGAACGCTACTCTAGGAAACGAGGAGAGCGCATCGAAGCAATTTGCTGGCAATATGGTGGACGCGAGGGTCTTGCCATCGGGGCTGACGGTGCGGTGATGTGCTCGAGGACAAAAACGGTCCCTGCTTCTCGTGGGTGGGATTGGGAAGTTGATGATTTCCTGTCCTCGGTCCCGTTCTTGGTCCTCGGTGGAGTTGGGAAAGTCGGCAGGTACCCTCGGCAACTCCCTTGGCTCATATTATGGTTCTCGGCGAATCGGATAGCGGTCGGGCTTCTCGTGACCGAGGCGAGGATCTCGTTTCTGAATCTTTAATGGCGCTCCAATTTCCTGATTTCGTCCAAATTCCGAATTCTCGGCTTCCCTCTACCTCGACCCTCCCACTCGTGTATAGTCCAGGCACGTATTCCGCGGACTCTAATATCTCGCAGGACATGCGATCGTTACAATTTGTTACGAAGCATATACAAAATGTATACACAAAATTGTAACGAGAGGAGCAATTATTTATAATAGTTGGATATGAAATGTAGAAAGTTTCAAATGAGATTACGTTATTATTTCTATTTTTTTCGCATGAATGTATAATTTCACCCGCAAAATGCGACGTATGTGTTGTGACGCGGCAGAACTTTACCCGTCACAAGTAGAGGCGGGACGGTGGTGGCGAGTATAAATTTGACTTATTTTCCGACATTTCTGCAAGTAACTTGCGACGTTTCTTGCTACAGCTGTTTGGATTTGCGGGTACACTTCCAATAAATTAGCGTAAATTCGCTTCCAAAATCGTGTACACTATGGAAAGAACTGTCTGAGAGCAGCTCTCGCAATTTTACTTCCACGTGGATACGAGCCATAAAGCAAGTCACTCTCGCAAGTCGTCTTGCAAGAACTTGCTACAGCGACTTGCGGCAAGAAATGTACTGCAAGTTTATCGGTAGTGTATCCACAAACGCAAGTTGCTCTAGCAAGAAATGGCGCAAGTTACTAGCACGTGGACACGAGCCACTATGTTTGTTCCTTAGGTTTTGTTATTGGTAAATTCACGTGACGAGGATAATTTTCGTATCGGTGCTCCCATCCATTGGTTGCATTTCGGCAAAATTGTCTCGCGAAGGAATTAGATGGTATTCCAAAGTATCGACGAAACTGGCAAAGGAGAGCCGGGATGGGCCCGGGAGGATTTTCTTCGTTTCGACGGATCGCCCAAGGATCGGTTCCTCATTGTCGAGGGGACCTCGAGTGCCGTCAGATTTGCCTCTCTAAGGTTCTAAGGGCCAAGCAGCTCTTGAACATCAAGATGGAGGACCGCCACCACTTTGCCGCTCTACCGAGGAGACCATTTCGTTCGGACCCAACCGGGAAGCCGTAGGATGAACGAACCCGCGTAGGAATTCCGTCGTTTTCGCTCCTTTTCTAATTTTTCGTCTCTTATGGCGCAATAATTTTTTCGTGTGTTCCGATACCCTCATCTCTGGCCGCTCTAGCTTGATCTTTTCCGAAAAACTTTCATTTCGCCCACTCCTTCTACGGTTTAATACCATTTTTTTTTCATCGTATCTGTCCCCATGCCGAGTTTTCACGTTTCTACTTGTCTGGCCAATTGCAGAATGCCTATCTCCGTGGCAATAAAAACTGTAAAAACGCGGATAATTTAGTGGTACACGGTCAGCTTGTAATTTCTCGGAGCAAAGGAACGGAACACTTTCGCCGACCCTCGTGGTCTGCGCAATTGCATTACGGTAATTCTCTTCCTGTCATTGCATCCAGTCGTGGGCTGCAATTCGATCGCGTTACCCTTTGAAAATTACAGCCGCGAAAATGTCGAGCGTGGGAGTAACTATTTCGCAGATGAAACGATACGGGGCATGCAGTTTCGCGATTCGCGGCTCGGTACCTCTACGAAGAAAGCGAGAATTGCGTGATTTTGCAATATTGCGGATTTCGTGGAAGGACGAGATGAGTTCCGCGGAATTATTTTCCGGCTTCTAGCTTCAATTTACGGAAAATGTAAAAGGTGCGGATTTTAGTCTCACGACAGGAACATTTTCTTTAATAAGGAACTGTCTTTAGCATATCCATTGGCATCTCGCAAATGTCAGGTGCACCTCCGGAGAGCAAGCCAGGCATTATGTTAACCCCGATGTTCGCCAGAAATTTGTATGAAACGGATTTTGCCTTGAAATTATTTCGACACGCAACATCGGAGTAGTGGTTGAAGCTCACTGTGGAGTTCCAGCGAGATGTATAAAAATTTAAGCAAATAGGCTCGAGCGCGTTTATATTCTTTCTCTTTGCCCAGACCGTACACTACGGGGCTAAATTAAAAATATGTATTGTAACTGGAGAAAAAGCGGTCTTGAAGATGAAAAATTCCCTACGAGGGGATTTGAGTTTTGAATTCAACATGAACATGACGTTGGAAAATTCTCAACCCAAAATTGGTTGTAATCTAGTATAGACTGTTAAAAAAAAAAGTATAAAATTCATACACTTATAGTACATAAGGTTGCGGTAAATTATAAATTTGATGCCACTATTGACTCATACTTGTGCTGTAGACTGAGCTTTTGCGGAACCTCGGTGATTATTGCTCGGGTAGGAATGATATATTTTCTGTGTTTGGTACGTAATGGCTTCAGTGGTTTTGTGACCAGAAGCGTATTCGGTCAATGTGTCTTATATCTATTATCTCAGATTTATTCACAATACGTTCGGTTAAAATTTTATTAATTCTCCTCCTCTGTTGTACGTAAAATTGCATATAGCAATTTGCATGCATTTATCGTGGATAATCGAGGCACGCACCGTGGACTAAAACCCAAGAACGGTCTTTCGAGAAATCCTTTCCATCGGAAAGTCGACGAAACTGGAACACACGACACGAAATCACCCCTTCACGAACGAACCCCTAGATCACGCATGTGCGGGGTAGTTTGCCCTGCAACTACGATTACAGTCATCATTGTGTGACATGTCTAAATTGTGCATAATAAACTACGTATACCGCATGTTTGAACGACAGCGCCGTGACATCCGGGCTCCTCATCTCCTGTACGCTATCTGATATCATTAACCTTTTCCCGGGTTCATCAATTGCATATTAACCTGGACAAATTGCTCTACCACTGCTAGAGAAAAGATAATGGCAACATTATCTTCACTTTCAATTACTGAGAGCAATCAACTTCTTTCCAGAATTTTTAAACCATTAGACGTGCGAATTTTCCTTTCTAATGCTACGCGTCACGGGAAAGTGACCCTCGAAGGTGACTCTCGAGCTTTTTCTTTAAACAGGGTTTCTAATTTATTCTTTATTCCATGTGAGTTTTCTCACATGGACATCCGTTAAGGAAAAAAGAAACACAAGCATGTCGTAAAAAATAAAACGACCGAAGAAGTCCAAAGTTTCAACAAAGGTCGCATTTTTGAGGAAGGAAAGACGTACTCACCTTGACGTTCCCGTACTTCCACGTGAAGATGACGACCACGGGGAGGCAGGCAATTATGCAGCATTCGAGAATGAGGATGGCGGTCCTCATGAGCCAGTTTAAGGACACGATGCAGGGTGAGCCATCCTCGCAGGACTCGCAACCCTCGGCGCAGGGCAGACACTCGAAGACCCCCTGGACCGCGTACTGAGACTCTTCACCCTGCAACGGGAAAGCGATGCAATCGGGGACCGAGTTAGGTACGATTGCGGGTCACGGTTGGCACAACCAGGGAACAACCAAGGAACAACCAGGGAACAACCCGATTTTCCGGAGTTTCGTTATTTCCTTCTTTCCGAGTTTCCGGCGACCCTAGGGGCCAACCCTTGGAATTCGCCGATGGGGATGATTCGCGCACACGAAGTTACTACGAAACGTCGACCGAGCAAACACTCGATTACACGAGGGACGTATGAGTGACACGAAGTCGGTATGACATGTCAACTGGGTATCTACTTCTTCTACTATTTCTTCCTACTACTTTAATCTCTTTTTCTCGATGGAGAATCCATAACCCTCCTGCGGCGGGTAACCTCGGGATCGCATTCTATTTACATGGAACATAAAAACCGCCCGTGGCTGGAGGGTTAAGTATTGACTTTAAGGGGATGTGAAAGTGACGCCAAAGAGGTCTCCTTAAGGAAACTTTTCTCCGAATCGAATGTGCCGAATCATTTCAAACTTTACAACATGAATATAAAGGCTATAAAAAAGGTCCTGACACCCATGAAATTTCAATTTTAAGAAAATTTGTTTATAGACGTTTTCAACATTTTTGATAAAATATGAAATTTGGCGAGTTTTAGGACCTACCTTAGGGTCTCCAAATTCACGATGTAAAGACCGAAATCACTTTACACGTATAGAAATTAAAAATTAAATTTCTTCCAATCGGTAATGATGCAGCGTTAAATAAACGCATTAAATAAAAAAGGCGTTTCAGATCTGAACATTGTTATTGGCCGAAACGACAAATAAAGGGTGGTCTATCCGGACCGTTCTTTGGTTTGTCAAGAAACTATTTCTTTGAAGCCTTATTCATCTGTCTTTTGCACATTTTTCAAGAATGAGGCGAATAGACTGAAAGGATGTTTTTATACGAGAGCAACGCCGGGCATTGAAGGGTTAATTCGATTTTGTGCATCGGGGTGAAATGGTTTTGAAAGAGAGAATATTTACGGCTAAAGAATGCACCTTTTCGCGTCTCCTTTCGGGCATTGCCGAAAGGAGGAAGCAGAAAAGACGGGTGTCAATAGAAATCGCGATCCGGCGAATGGGAAAGGAGCACCTGTCACCGAGGGTAGTTCAAAGGGGCGAAGAAGGCAGAATAAAGGGTTGACGAGAAGTGTTTGCTCGTGGCCGGTATTTTCGCTGTAGGGTAATTATGAGCATAATTTCCTTTTGGACACGTATAAAGGCTTTCGCTCGATGCCAAAGTAGATTGGCATCTTTGAGAAATTTCAGGCGGGTGCTCTTTATACGTGAGGTAAATTAGCGCGGGAATGAATTTACCTGCAGCTCGTAAATACACTTGAGTCCACCTGCATAAGGTCGTTTTTATTAAAAGTATTCTTACATAATTTTTAATTTCCCAATGTTGTCAACTACATTTCGTGAGACATTCGAGTTGGCATTATTTGAAACGTAAATTCGAATTTTTAAAAAATGCGATATATTTGGGGCCCACTTTATCTCTACGAGAGTTTACCAATTTTAACTCTTGAAAAAGTTCTACATATCGAGACTCAATTGGAACTTAATCCGATTTTTTCATGGATAAGCCGCGTATTGCTCGTTCACCGAATGCTTTTATGCCCACGGAGACTCCATTTCTATTTATTCCGGGAAATTTTATTATATCCGCTAAAAACACTATAGTGTAAAAAAACCATGCTAAGTACAAGCCTGTCCTTTAAATTCTATATTATGTTTCTGAATGCATCAACGGGGAAAAATGACTGATGAGTCTAGGAAGAGAAATCACGTTCTGATTTACATCTTTTTTAATCTTTGGAGCAGAAATAATGGATTTCTTTCCGGTCCCCCTAATATATATATACACACAGGGGATAGGTTTTATGATGGACCGTGGGGAGCGCTCGTGTCGCGGGTGTGAAGAAAGAACAGGACACCGCCGGTTTTCACGCGATAAGGACACGAGGTCCAATTTTATGTATATCTCCCGTCTCGATGATAACACATAACCTGCGTTTCTTACGACTGCTTTCCATTCCGCCCTTATGCTCTGCCGATTATCCGAGCGGTGTTGTATCTTGCACCTTGTAATAATTGAAATGAATTCTCATCACTGTAACTTAATTTTATGAATGACGATAGAGGTAATAAATGAATTACTTTATTCCCGAATTCCGTTATCAATTGAATTCATCGAGTGGATTCTACGCGGTGAAACGGATAACGAAATGGCAACGCAATCTCTTAAAATCGAAAAATTGCATTTGAAGATAATGCAATATTTTTCGCGTGGAGGTATCTTTTCCGTGCGAAGATTAATCGATTTTCGGCTCCATTCGAACGGTACACCGAGCCCCAATTGTACGATAATCCAACTTTCGCGTTATCGAGTTGCGGATTGCTCGCGATTGGAATGCGTCGACGTTAAATGAAAGGCTCGCAGAAACGCGATATGTCATATGAATCGATATCCCGAAAAGGTGGGCCGAGCTTTTTATTTTTATCGAGAGTCCGGTCCCTCTGAACGCGGGGAAAGAGATCCGGAAATCACTTTGATACTCGTTTCCTGCGAGCAAGGGTGGATCGAATGGACAATGGCGGGATCGTGGTCCTCGTTCGACCGGACCGTGTCTGACAACGGACCCGTGTAATTCCTTCGGAATCCCTCGATGACCATCGAATTCCCGAGTCTTCTCGAAAATTATAACGTCGCCGATGGACTCGCCTTTCCCGTCCTCGGCTTTTCTCCATTTTTTCGTTTTCATGCGGAACGCCTACTTTACTCGCATTACGAGATTCTTTAACAAGGATTTCGTTTTATCATTCCTTTTGTTCGTTATGCATTATATTAATTTTTCAATTTTATTTTTCATAAAGAGTTGTCGTTAAGTAATCAAAATAGTAATTGCGGTAAGGGTCTAACTGTCGTATCTCATCCTTGCCATTTTTATACCTATAAAAGCAGTACCGAATAAAAAATCTCGTCAGGTACGGGATCGCTGCAAATTTCCCTTAAAAAAAATAAGAACTATTTAGATTTCACGTTACGCTTCTTTATGCACAAAGTATTGAAATCGTATAACATTTTTTGTGAATTCGTAAATTGTCTTTTAGCCGGTAATAGGAGGAAAGTTCTGCATCCTGTTAAAAAAGATGACGAATCTATCAGTTTGGTCTAGCTAATGAAAAGGTTCCATTGCAGGGAGCAACAATATTTGCGAGATTAAATGTATTTACAGTACTAGTTTGCATCCGACAGCATTTTGTTAAATGTTATCAAGAACGCTTTTCAAGCATCGACCTCCTAAAGAAACACTCGTCTATTTTTGGCCAAGTTCGCGCGGATGAAATTTTTAGTCCATTATCTTAGGAGTCGAGCGTTCCGCAACTTGGAGTAAAAGTTCCCCGGACGAAAGTCTCGAGCGTGGCATGCGCTGTACCCCTGTTAACTTCCGTGACACATTAAAAATGAAAGAAATTGTACCCTAGAACCCAAGGAATTTTTCATGTGGCAAAAGATTCCCGGTTCTCTCTTCCCATCCACTTCCGCTCGCCAAACATACCAAAGACCACGAATTAAAGATGATATCCACATTTGTCTCATAACGAAATGCCACTAAAAGCTCGTAATATAAGATTTAACGTTAGCGAGACTTTGCTGCCGACATGCCGTGAAATGGATCTTATCGTAGATTTTTGGAAACATTTCTGCCAAGATGCCGATCCACGTCGGGCATGTTAAGGAAATAAACGAAGAAAATATACATAATGCATTGCATCGTTCTTGCGGTTACGCAAAAAGAGCCGAGCAAGTTCCTCTGCATCGTACCTCGGTTGCCGAAGGCGTGGTCAAGTGTACGATTCAGAAGGGGCAGGGGGTGATAAAGGAGAGATAAATAAACCGGGTGGACAGCCGCTAAACCGCAAGACGGATAGCAGGACCAACGGAGATGTTTACAGAAGCACCTCGCGAAATCTCGGTATTCCGTGCCCCGTATCCTTCGGGATCTTCGGGACCGTTTAAACCCGGGGTTTGCCCTCCCTCCCGATTTCCGATATCGGTCGAAGGCATCGCACCCCGACGACCTACAACTTTCCTTGAAGATTCCATCGACTTGAAAATCCTTGGGTCGGTATTCTTGGTGCACCTGTAGTGAACAACCAAAGCATACGAATACCGAGTTTTCTGCCAATCCCGGGGCTCTTCAAGGATCCCTTCATCCCCACCTCGTGTTCCTTGCGTTTGCGAGAAGACGTATCCAAATGGCATTTACGGTGGAAACGGATCTCGGGGATATTCTTTCCATCGACCCTTTCCTTGCAAAATCCTCAAATCGAGGGCTTGGGTGCTCTGGAATATCTGTGGTCGTTAAAATTAACAATTTCCACGTTGAACAAAGGAGATCGCGTGTTCGCCAGATATAACTGGGGTGAATGCTGCAAAATTAATGCGGTTTCGCTTCTGAATTGGAAATACGATGCCGAATGCCACAGCAGGGCGAACCTCGTGGATAACGAGGACGTGTCATGTCGCGTGATTTTGTAGAAAAATGAAAAATATGGTATTTTTATTTCCCATTTCTGGTGCACGTGTGGATGGATTTTTGTATATAGGTAACTACTTGATAAAACCGATTAAAGAACCGAAAGAATTACTTTTCTTGTTAATATGTGAGGCCTCGGGGCCGGAAATATTATTCACAACTTTCTGCATCACTCGATGTAGCACATTTGGAATAAAACTTATTTATTCATTCATTTGGTACATTTATAATTTTTTTTGTCTTAAATACAGTAAAGCTCCTTTCATTTTAATGTCCTTCGAAAATTTGGAGTTTGGGCATTCTAAAGATTGAAAATTTGAAAACCGTGCACATGAAATATCAAGCCCAATAGCGTTTCGTTCAGGGATGAGTTTTTCGTTGTATAAAAAATCAATTTCCCAGAAAACAAAGAGTGTTCCTGACAACGAAAACATGTTATGGAAATATATTTGTTTTGTCGGGATCCAGAAAAAAATAAAATCGGGACGTAGCAGCTTTTCGCATCGTTTGCTTCCAAAGCTGGCGAAACGAAGGTGCTTCCTTTTGTTCGCGAGTTGTGTTTAAAAATATTCCAGCGATAGGTGTAGGAAAAATAAATTTTGAGGTGAAAAGTGTCCGCATCCACATACATCGCAAACTCTATTTATCGTATATCTGGAATTTATCTTTGTCCTCGAGTTGACCAGCCGTATCTCTGGAATTCTGGGATTACGTGTTCAGCTCATGTTTTCTCTCCCTGTCGTCGGTACGAGGATTTTTATTCTTGACGAGCCGTAATCGCAGAGAAATTTGTGAACCGTGTAGTATCACCACAGCTAAACAAAGAGAACGAGTCTACGTGTTTCACTATTTGTTTTACTAACAATTCAATCCACCCAGGGACAACTTTCTTACCAATTAAAATTTCGCTTTGGCGAGAAACTGAACTAAATGATGTTGCTTTGGACAAATGTAAAATACTATGTTTTGTGCAAATTAATTCAGGGTACTATACGCGAACGAATCAATTGTTATAAAAGAACGGGACGGCGATAAAAACCGTAACTTAACAGGTACAAGTCACCATAACTGTTGACATTTTCATAAATATGTAGAAATAAATATTTTGCGTCTTTTCACTTTTTTCTCCCCTTAAAACAGGGAGTGATACTTGGGACAGAATTGATCAATGACTACCTTGATATATGTAGCTCAGGACGTCGATAACGAAAGTGAAAAATGATACCGAGGTCGTTGGGTGATCCCTCGATCAACGAGTCGTCGAGAGGGACGAGTCGATGGAACTGAGGGCACTTTTTAATTTGCATCGCTGCCTTGTATGACATCAAACAGTACTTAATCCGTGATTCTGCATTTCGAATATAATTTACCTCTCATTGACAAACTCTTCTTCTTCGATTGGATTGAACGACGAATTCAATTGCGCTTCCCTCGTCATCTCGACACGTTACATCGAATGCGATGAAAAGGGATCGCTCAATCAATTCCGTACATTTCATATATCCTCGCCCTTCTTTTTGGTTCGTTTAACGGCTAAGTGCAGGATTATTTGCGAGAGTTCACGTCAGAAGCTAATGTAAGAGATGATTCCAGGCAGATTCGGTTCATTAATCACCGTAATGGAAAAGTCCGATAAAATCCGAGTTCCAGAGTGAATAAAACGACGTCGCCCTTGGAGCCTGTTCAATGCGCGATTCGACGAGCTGTCAGATGGAGGACGAAGGGCTGAAAAATTAATATTTATAGTCCGCGGTTACTTGGATCCCGGCTCTTGACGTATTAACACTAGAACTACCAAGATCAGTCAAAATGACTGGTTTTAAATGTCCCATCTTATACAAAAAAAATCCGCCGGTAGTTCAGCGTTAATCCGTACTCCGAGTATCTGGCCTGAAACATTTATAATTGAATTTCTATAAATTTCTCGCGTAGACCGATTTCCCGAGCGTCGTCTCGTCCACCCATATAGGTACAAAATGCCGCTCTTAATTTCGGAATTTATTAGGGACCAGGCGAAAGTTGCATCGAAAGTTTCAACTCCCAGTTTCGTGTCTGCGCGGTGAATTACTGGGAATATTAATCATCGCTTTTCACCGAGGCTCTCTTTACGATGGAAAAGCATCATGAAACCCACCCGTCGAGATCAAAGTTGAAGAGAAGGGAGAAGGCAACTTCGGCAAGAGCAGACGCTCTCTCGTAATCTCATTTTGGTTAAAATGGGAAGAAAGGCTCCTTTAGCTCGGGCACGTACGTAGCTTTATAGAGAGCGACCCAAGCCCTTTTCGCGCGACTCGCCAAGGAGTCGGAAACTTTTTTAATTTACCCGTGACCGAGGGGGGAAGATGCACAAAAACGTCCGATCTTCGCGAACGGCGCGGTAACTTTGGCAGATCGGATTCGGATTGCCGGATAAACGGAGAAAAGAACGATCCCGCGGTTGGGGTCATTTGCATTTAATCCGTAAATGGCAGAAATCGACCTCGAACTCTCTCGGGCTTCCTCGAAGCGATCAATTGCCATTTAAGGCATATTTTAACTTATTTAAGATAAAAGTGATTTTAATGGATTTGTTTCGACAATTTGGAAGGTATTCTCGTTCATTTTCGTCTATTAATTGCCGTGATTTATGAACGATATATTTCATTTAGGTGGGTTAGAAAGGAACTCGTTTCTTTGACGAATTTAAGCTGACAATAATCTAAAGGAATAGGATATTTTCTTTTATATTATATTTCAAGTTAATTGTTAAGATTTAGGATCGGCGTTATAAAGGGACCCATTATTTAATCAATTCGAGATGATAATAGCATAAACGGAATTTTCGATAAATCGAGAGACATTTTCACTAACTTATCATTTTTTATTACGTTTCTTCTTTCGAGGAATAACCAAGAGAACTCGGGGCGTTCCCAAAAGGTCCGAAGAGGATATTCTCGCCGGAGGTGTCGCAAAGGTGTGGCGAATCACCTATTCTTTCTGTGAATACCTTAACAAGCGGCACAGGAGGTGTAGCGTTAACTTGACGAACTTTATAGGCCAGTCAAGCAAGCGCTCGTCGCGCTGACGTCAGTCATTTATTTCGGGTAATTACAAAGAGGTAAAGGTACCGATACCTATGCTATCTATCAATTCGACCGATTAATTCGATGTCGGGCGGGAAAGGGTGACATTACTTGACAACTTGATGGGCACTTCGAGCGAGTTTTCATTCGCGTTTGCGACATTTCGTCGTTATCGAAGAACTTTACGGAGCTACGACGAGTGTTTGGAATAATGGCGTTAACGAGGTGCTCGCACGCGACAGCGGTCATTTATGGAGGTCCGTCCATTGGTCAACGGGTTAGACGCAGGCTCGAGAGAATGTCCGACGCTTGCGCGAGAATTACGCCGGGGATGGGTGCAAGTGACGGGACACTCGGTACTCTTCCTACCTAAAAATGCACTCTCGGTACGGCAGATTTTCGCCCACGAAGCCTCGAGATCCGACTTCTCCTTAGGCGAGTCCCTCGGGATCCGGCCTAATCGTTTTCTATGGCCGACAGAAATCTACCGCGAAATTGTGGAATAGTTCCATTTGCCTCCGAACTGCACGACATATGGACGGTTTGCGGACCTCGCGACGCCGAGGAATCGTATCCTTCTGTAAAAAGATTGTAAAATTAACGTAGAGCTCTCGAGTTCTTTCCAAGATATCATGTCTACACGTTAAGTTGTCATTCAGGAAGGTAAATCCCTCGGGGTAATTTCTGAATTTCAAATGCCGTAGATAACTTGTTACGTCTCAAACTGCTCACTCGTGTATTGCACGTTATCAGAGATTTACCTCGTAACGGGCAGCGAAGTCTCGACATCTCGAAATCGAAAGTCAGATTATTTATGCAAACGCCCGTGGCGAGAGGATGCAGTTGAAGCGAGGGGGGCCGATACCGACAAATAATTAATAAAACGTCATCGGCATAGGGATATCGATGTAATATCGGCTCGTAGATAATATCGATACCGCTTCATCGCCGTGGAACTCCTGCCACTCGAAGGCATTAATCGTGGAATTCGGCTTTACGGCAGACAATTTCTTGATTTTGTCCTCATTTTCTGACGTACGATTCGAATCACCCCGACCGAGTATCGACGTAACTCGAGCTCAACGTAGCTTGCATCGATACGAGCTTGCAAATGCACCTAGAGAGCCATCGAAGCTCCTCGATCGCAAGTGCATTCCGTTGCTAGGTAACCGAAAAGTGCGGAGTTCATTTTAACCGAGAGTATATGAGATCAAACGTTCCTCGGGGTTGTTATTAATAATTTTAATGTGCGATGATCGTATAAATATTGGTAAAAACTAGTTTTTATAAGTACTTCGAAGGAAGGAAAATGCTGGGTATCAAATGACAAGATATTAAGAGTAATGATCGATAGATTCCGCTAGGACTTAAGGTGATATGAAAGGGTGATATATATTTAACGAAAAGTCAAAATATTTATAACACTTTTCTCCGAACTGGGTGTACCGAATCGTTTGAAACTTTACAATGTGAATGTGGAAGCTGTTAGGAAGGCCCCGACTCCCACAAAATTTCATTTTTTATAAAAGTGTTGAAAAATATCTATAAAAATATTTTTAAACGACTCACCTTTCATGGGGGTCAAGACCTTCCGTATAGCCTCCATATTCACTTTGTAAACTTTGAGTCGATTCGATACACCCTGTTCAGAGAAAAGTTACATAAACGAAACCTCTGTGTCGCCACTTTCACTCCATCTTAAGGTGACATGAAAGGGTCAGTCCATATATGTCGAGAAGATCGAGAAACTATTTCCACAAAATGTATCGCCAGGTTCTTAAACGTTAGATACGTTTTGGTCACGATGTTGGGTCACATGGGCACGAACCTAATCTCTATTTTGCTCTTTAGTAGTGCTTGGTGACATTTATCCGGACTCACCAGCATGAGCTTCTCGTACTCCTCTTCGATGACGGTGCCATTGTAGTACCGCTTGGTGGACTTGGTGTCAGGATAGAAGAAGCCGCGCTTGCAAACGCATCTATAGCTGCCACGGCGGAAGCCCAATCCGGGAATGGCGACACACTGCGGACAGAAATGACCGAATGGAGTTCGCTTTAAGGGAAAATGGACCGAGTGTTTCCCCGTGGACGTGGAAAAGTCGGAGGAAGCCCCCGGCCGTGGCGGGTCGTAAACTTAACAGCGCGCGACTGCGCCCGGTCGTTGGGCCATTTTGCTCCGGGATTGACTTCTAGGGCTGGAATCGCGGATCAGGATTTATTCCCCGTCGTCGTTGGGGGTAAAATGCACCCCCGACCCGTGGGGCTCCGATTGCCGAGCCCCGAACGATTCTTCCGAGCCCAATTCTTCCAGGTGCGAACCTCTTGTTCGTCTCTCTTTGAAGAACTCTCCCGTGAGCACGATGTTCCATCACGCAAACTTTATCAATTGGTCGGATTAATCAAGAGGGTGAAACTCCTTTGCTCATGGTGAGATGCAATTGAAGGACTTGAAATCGTAATAGTATGCTCTGATCGTTAAGAGCTCGTGTAGTTCCATGTAATAGAATTGCAGGAATTTTAATTCCTGTTAATTCTTTGTGTAGTTTTTTTATATTTATGTATTTGTATTTTGAAAGAAACGAAGTTGGATCGAGTAAGAGTCCAGCCTTAATTGCAGTTCTTATTTATCGTTTACTTTTTTAACGTTGAACCGAATACCATGGTAGAGCATGCCTTTAAAGGTACATTTTTCTTGATTATTGTTAAACGTTTGCCAACTCCGTTATTTTTCTATTTGACCCAAAAACATGGGTTCCTGGAGACGACGTCGCGGATTCTTGATGGAAGTGTCTGAAACCGAAACCGAAATGTGAAACCCTTTCTGGTGACAAAGTTACGCGAACTTCAGAGACCGAAATAATACGAGTCGAGTTCCGGTTCAGGGAGTTTCCGCTTGCGAGGATATTAGATGAGTCGGTAATGTCTCGGTGACGTGAGACATGTCATGTATCTCTGCTCTAACAAGATGCATAAATTTGCAAGTAACACCCCAAACCCCTCCAGCTTACGAGGAAGAGGAGAACAAGCATTATTAAAACAAGCAGGATTACGCTCCAGCCGATATTCCTTTTGCCCCTCTAAAACACCATCGGCAAGTAAACAAGATTATACCTTAAAGAGAAATTAGCTTTTCCAAAATCGCGGAACTTTCTAAAAGTCTCTCGATTTACTCTCTATGTCGGTTTTCGGAAGAGAAGTACCCCATATTTGAAATACGGTTGGTAATTTAAAATACAGAAATATTAAAAAAATTACTAGCGCTATTTAGTTTGCAGCACCGGAAATAGTAAGAACAAATGGCTGACTAACCAATGACATTTGTGGCCGAACCACAATTTTTACATTTCCGACTCAACTCCAGAAGCGTAAAACGTCAATATCCGCAAGTTTTTTTAGTGTATATTAAATCCGTTACAATCATATACAAGATATGTCAAAACATTACAGTAGATCGTTGAAATTATTGAACTGCATATTAATTTAAAGGTTTTGCGTTGATTTGTAGTACTGCAGTTAACTTGCTTCAGATAGTTTCCTGGTTAGAGGGTCTGACTGATAATCCACGGTTCCTGGTTCAAATCGACAGAAAAGAGATTCCATGACTATACCATCGTATAAGGGAAGATTGTAAAGTAAGATCAATTCAAAATCATTTTAAACATTTATCTTATTTTGTGACATTAAATTCGTATTGAATCCAGTCCTGGCACAATTCATTGGCCCCGCTCAGAACGCGTTAACATTTCAAAGCTGGGTCGAGATTGATAAAAAACTAAGGACTAAGCTCGGCAGCCAATATTTGTCCAGGGTCCATAGCCAATTCCGGCTCGAACTCGATTGATAACAAAGGCTCAACGGTGGCAAAAGATACCGACACTATTAGGTACACCGTTAACATTTTAAGGTTGATATGGAATCGATTGCCGTGCATTAGCCAAAGTTTTGCCAATGTTTGGCCAAGGTTGGCCCGTTTCTTAATTCTTGCCCGGGTATGTTCATTTTCGTCGAATCGTTTAAAGCGCTTTAACCGCACTTGTCGCGTTTCCTATGATAAATCGAGGGTGATGGTAGTTTTGTGCTTTAACGCCCTGCACGTGATGGCTCGGGGGTGTCTTCCTGCCAGGCGGGTGGTCGAGGGTAACACCCCATTTTCCCGGGCGCGTGATCGCAAAGTTTGCGTCCAATTAGGGATCTCGAAATCTCTCGTGGCGATGATAAATGGCTCGTAAAAATCCTAGTAATGCTTGCGACCTACTTTTTCCCTCCCGACAACAAGTCCAACCTGTTAAATACCTGCATATAAATTCCGGTAAACCAACTAACGATCTACAAGTCCAAACAACGGGCTTCCGTTTAATTTCTGCTTTCCCCTCGTCACGCGATCACATTGTTTCCCCATATGGGAACTCTCTACATTTTGTTTACTATGAAATTCACCGTAAAAATCCCAGTAATTCTTTGGTACTTTCGGTTTTATTGCACTTGAGGTAGCAACTGATATAACAATACCGTAATTAAAAAATGACCACCTACCCATCTACCCATCGAATCGGCGACAACGTTTGCTTCCGAAGGAATGAATTCCCATAACGTAAAATAACATTTGATAAATCATTAACAATATAGGGTAGGGTGGTGTAGGTGTGTGCGGTCGGTAAGAGGGCGCATAGGCTTTTCATAGCAAACCACGTGAGTAGTTAACTTAGGTCGTGTTTTGATCGCTACCCGATTCTGTACTTAGTTCCGAAAAATTGTTGAAATACAAATGAAAACGAAGCGTTCAGGTAAGTTTAAAAGTATCTGTGTACTTTATTAAAATTTTTAATTTATTTGCAAGTCGTATTATGAAATAACAACTGGATTGTGGCAAAACAGCAAGGATTTTAGTTAACCTCAACAATTGTCATTTTATTAATGTTATCATAGTTTCGCTACTCTCTGGAAAATGGTGGCACTGGTAGGTTTTGTTCCAACAATATCTAGTTTGTAAGTGTGCTTACCTTGAGGGGGTGTAACAATGCGCGCGCACTCTTACACGACATTTATTTGTTTCTAATGCCTTTTGTTGTTATAAAAGTTTAGACAAATGAGGAAGGCAGAGCGAAAAATTGATCCATCTTCATTAATTGATGAAGCATCAGGTGCAGGCTTCGACACTTGAAATACCAGAACTATTGAGTCGTTCACCGTTTACAAGACAACTGGTTAAGAAAAATAAAACCTGTTTGAAGAAAATAGCATCACAAGAAAAAGGAAAATCTAAGACTTTCCGAAAACCCAAATAAACGCCAAGAAGGAAAGTTTGAAAATGTGGGCTCTATGACGAAGTGTACAGAAAACCTTTTAAAGAAAATTGGATAAGCCTTGCTACATGGAAAGAGTGGTCACATGAAAAGTTTACTGGCTATTTCAGTATTGGCGCGTTTCTTCGTGATTTTTGCATGAAACAATACCTACGCACACTTATCTACCCCAGTGCGCGCGTTTACTTCTAGGTTGGATAAAATTGCGCATTTGACCCTTTTATTTTAAACCAAACTCGTTCCAAAGATGATTAAAATTTACATTAGAAAACCGTGGCAATTCGTTAAATGATAAACAGCGTCTAAAAATAAATAAAGTTTGCATTCCTAAACGTTACATTCTCCAAAATATTACTCATTTTTTCATAAACGCGCACAGTTACCCCACCACCCTCTATAAGATTTAAACGAAGCCGTCGCTAAGCTCCCCTTCTTTCGGTACACCACTTTTGCATTTAATTTCACGTCGGAGCTTGCCTAACGAAAGTCGAAGCACGAAGTGGGAGCAAGCTGTCGATCAAAATCCAAATCGCCATCGAATCGCGTTTATCTCCGGCGTTCGATTCGACGTTTCCCGTCGACCATGGGATCCCCTCGATCCTTTTCGGCAGAGGGTGGCTGGAAAGATGGATCGCTCTCGTCATCCGAGGGTAAAGGGGTTCTAGCCGCCACCGAGACCGACCGGGCCATTCATCAAATCCCTGGCCCGGCAATGCTCGACGCGAGCTTGACCCTCTTTGGATCAATTCTCAGGGACTTCTCTGAAATCTACGAGAAAAGTCGAAAACGCCCCCGGAGCTCAAAGAGCCTCGACTGGCTAACTTTTCATTGACGCTTTCCGCTTTCCGCGTTTTATGCTCTCCTGGACGCCAAATGTCTTTTCATTCCCCGGGAAGTCGCAGCTGATCTGTCCGATCGGGGAATCAATTTGAAAACCGGAGATCTAGACCTCTCGGGTGAACCTGCTGAAAGATTTCCGGGAATCGGGAGGACGTCTTGGAGACTCATTCTCTCGGAATTTCATGCTATCATTTACGGGGTTAGCGGGATTGTGGTGGGATTGAAAGTAGCGGACCACTGGTTTGAAAGGGAGCACAATTTGGGGGAATAACGAGAAAAATTGAATGCCTGTGACTTTTGTGCGAGCTGAAATTCTGCGACCACAATTTTGATGAAGAAATTTGTGAGTTGGAGCGGCGGTCATTTAATTTTAAGTCAAAAGTAAAGGATTTGAGGGATCGGTCGAAAACTCGACTTCTTAGGAAATAATACGTTGTTTCGTACGTCGTTGTCATAGCTCGCAAGAAAAATGGTTCCCTAAGCGAGAACTGCATTTCTCCTCGTGCAGTCGAGTGCACGGTAATCTGTCACAGGTAACATTAAGAAAAAAGAAGAGATCGACGATACGATTTCTCACGTTTCGTACGTAGATATAATCGTATGAGTTATTGCCTTACAGTTCGGAATTAAAACGACGTTATGCGGCGATAGTCTAATGATTGCAGGCGTTAGATAGATTACGAAACCGATCAATTCCATCTGAAACGGAATATCCTTTAAAACAATAACTAAATAATTGTTACATCGTGTTAAGCAGAATCCGCTTTACATTTATTTTTGTGCTAGAAGATGGGAAACTTTCAACACGAAATTTATGTGGGCTTATTTACGTTGAACGGAGATTCTTAAATGGCCTATTATTTAACTCGAAGTGATTAAGTGGGTACTTTCTGGTTATGGGTAAGCAGTTTACTTAAGTCAGACCCTAAACGATTGAAAATCCAAAGCCCCATGAATCACCGGCCAAAGTTCCGACGATAGACCCTAAACCAAAGCTTGATCCCGTTAAACCTCCCCATCGGTTTAGGTGTTTGCATACTTAATCCCTTCTTACGTGACTGGAATAGTAATCAATAGGCATGGGCCCAGTTTGCGAATTCGCATCTAGGAAGTCCTACGTAGGACTACGTTACGTGTACAGCCTTCTCGGATGGTACTGAAAAGTTTTGAGTCATAGATGATACATATATTGATGCGTCAGAAAATTCTTACCTCAAGGAATTCCCTTATAATTCGTTAAAACCCTCGTCTGGATATGAATATTTCTTAGTCCAATTTAAAAATTCTTTCAGCCGTAGGGAAAGAAATCTCCGAGACGAAGCACGAAGAATTTACTTTTCACCCTCATCGAGTTAAAGCGAATAAGTAAAAGTTGTGTAATCATTTTATTACGGTCCGCATCCTCCGTCGAACAAAGTAAATGCTTGTACTTTTACGTTCTTTTCATTCGATTTACCTATGAGGGGCTTTCGTCGTCCCGCTCGTAGTTTTCTGAATTAAGCATTTCCCACCGCGCGGCTCGGTTCTCTGCATTTTCATATCTCGCTTTGCAATTTAAAATCTTCTTTCCATTTACCTCGGTTGTTCTTTTCTTGCACTTGTCGCTGGCGGCGAAGATGTTCAATTGAGTAGAGCCAGGAGGCAAGGGGCACTGATCGATGTCCACCCTCCTGAGGTCGATATCGATTCCACTGGTGCCCCTGAAATCAAACTCACTTCATGAAAGACTCGACCTACTTGCTTCTCCTTTTTAATACTTAATATGTAATTATCCAATTTAATGATAATTTCTTAGGCTTAAGGGGATGTGAAAGTGGCATCCAAAGAGTCAAGCGTTCATGAAACTTTCCTCCAAACTGGGTGCGTTGAATAGTTCCTAACTTTACAAAGTGAATGTGGAGACTATGAGGTCCTGACCCTCGTAAAATTTCATTTCTTATAAAAAATGTTAAAAATATCTATACACAAATAAAAATAAAATTGAAATTTCATGAGTTTCAGGACCTTTCTTACACCTTCCATATTTATATTATAAAGTTTGAATCGATTTGGTACACCCAGTTCGGAGAAAAGGTTCATAAGCAAGACCTCTTTGACACCACATTCACATCACCTTAACTCTCCTATCATGACAAGTCCATTTAATGAAAGACTTCATAAGAGTGTACGAATTCAATGAAAATACGAAGAAACAAGAAAAATGTGCACTGTAGAAAAATAAAAAAATGTATTAATTGGTTCACGGAAAATTATACCGCGATACGGCGTAAAACGAGCGTGCATTGTTCAGACGTTTCTGAAAAAAAAAAAATGTTGAAAGCTTCTCCCTTACGAAGCGATGGGCCACGTTCTTTGTTGGAAAAATTCGGACTGCCGGGACGGAGATCCTGCTTTGAGCTGGCAGAATTTTAATAAGCTGTGTTGTGCCGTCAACGGCAAATATAAAATTCACCCACGGAAAGTTTGGAATTGTCCCTACACCCGGTAAAATAGGGAAGGTTGGATTGGGGCGACTTCGGCAGGCCGTAATACGGCGTCGCGGTGGCTGTTATTGGAGCACCGGTGCGGCTGAAAGTTAAAACTTCTTAACTCTCGAGAAACGTCTCTTTTCCTTTACTTTCGGGAGTTTCATTTCGCCCGTTAGGTGGGATATTTTCTCCAGTTCGGTAAGTGTTTCTGTAGTCGATTAAACGGGATTTCTGCGCGACCACTTAAGGTGGTACGAAAGTGGCATCTAAGAGGTCAATCGTTCGTGAAAGTATTCTTCGAACTGGGTGTACCGATTTCTTTCAAATTTTAGCACACGAATAAGGAGACTCTAAAGTAGGTCCTGAAACTCGCGAGATTTTATTTTTTATACAAAATGTTGAAAATACCTATAAACAAATTTTCTTTAAATTTAAAGTTCACGAGGGTCAGGACCATCCTTATAGCCTCCGTATTAACGTTGTAAAGTTTGAAACGATTCGCTATATCCAGTTCGGAGAAAAGTTTCACCAACGGAAATTCTTTGACGCCACTTTCATATCACCTTAAGGTAACAGAGTCATTCTATATATCGAAAAGTCAAAATATTTATACAATTTTTCTCCAAACTAGGTGCAACGAATCATTTGAAACGTCAGCACGTGATTGTGAAGGCTCTAAGGAAGAACGCGATGCTCGTGAAATTTTATTTTTCAAACAAAATTTTCTTATTTATCCTAGACTCGAACCAAGATCACATTTTTTTGAGAAATATGAAATTTCACGAGCATCTCGTTCTTCCTTAGGGTCTCTATAATCACGTGCTGACGTTTCAAATGATTCGGTGCACCTAGTTTGAAAAAAAGCTTTATAAACATGTTTACGATTTATATATATATATAAAAGGTCCCTTTCATATCAGTTTAATTCCTAATAATCAACAAAATACCCGGGATGTTTCATTTATGTCGACATAGCAAAATATTTTGGGAATCATGCGTTTATGAAAAAGTTCCAATTTAAAATTTGTATACTTCCGAAGGAAAAAAGCGACGATGATAGTTACTATAATTTCGTTGAGTTTTTTGAGATCGTTCCAAGGTCAACTTCAGTTTTTTTAAGTAGGAGTAAATGTTTTTATACCACAATCATTTTCTGGGCAAAAAAGTATGGAACTTTTGTCTGGCAATTTTTTTGTCTACTTCAAGTTTTCAAGATGTACTAAAGTATGTGTAAATTTGGTACTCAAAACCCTAAACAAAAGATGATTATAAAAATTTATTTTAACAGATGGTCAAAATGGTGACAAGCAATGAAGGAAATAAAGCAGCGAACGCGGTAGAATCGCGCGCCGCGTTAGTGACGCGAAAGTGGAAAAGCTCGCATCGAGCATTCCGCTTCTTTTTCCAGAATCGATTCTCGACGAGCTTGTCTTCGATTCGTGGAATTATTCAGTGCCACGTTGAAAGCTTTTAACGACCTGCTTTTATCGCTATTCCTGGCGAAATCCGGTTGGACCTTTGTTAAATATTATGTGAAATCAATTAACCGGCCTTGCATTAATTCCAGAGCGTTCCCATTTTTTTCTGATACGGAGAATAATCTCCATCATCCAGTATACCTTCCCCATAGGATTTGTCTCTTAAGAGATTTTAATGAAATACGATTCGCAATCGCGTTCGATCCCGATTGATCGTGGAAGGGTCAAAATCGAGATACATTTTCTGGACTACTTCTCGGAGCGGATCCAACGGTGGGAAGTCCTCCCATTCCGAAGAGCTTAAATTTTTGTTGAAAAGTGGAATAATTCAGTGCCGTTGAGAGCTTTCAACGATATGCTTTTATCTCCCTTTCCTGTGAGATTCTTCGGAATCTCGGGTGCACTGCGCTTCCGCGCCTCGAAGCCTTTTTGTCAGGATAAATTGGAAAAAAGAGACGAAAAAGGAAATGACGCGGAGGCTCGAGATCCTGGAGATCTCAATTTTCACTTAATCGATAATATTGACGAATCGGCAGGCGCGTCCTTTTCTGAGAGCCGTATGCTTTTAGCGCGAATTTATACAAAGGTCTTTGTAAAGAATGCGTCGAACCACCCGATCGAGTCGGAACAATGCTTCAATTTAATTTTAACGAACCAGAAATATTTTTCATCGAACGTTGATCGTCCGCGTGCATTCAAACCAAAGAATAACCATGAAGTATCGTCGATATGTTCCGAGCGATACAAAATTATCGCCATTATGATATGCATTTTTCGACAAGTGGCAACAATTTCGTTTTATATGACGAATTGGCGAGCCCGCAGTTCGCAACGTCGTCATAAAGGACACACTTCATTCCGCCTAGGACACATCTCGATCCGCGATGTATCGAAATTTATTAGATTCAACTTCTGCAGGATGCGTTGTCCGGCCGTCCGGACCAGCGACATTTTGATCGACAGCCGTGGGAATTCGTCATCGAATTCAAAAGCGTGTTCGGTGGGCAGTTCGCGAGGGAATCCGAGAGAAAACAAATTCTGTCTCTCTTCATTTCGACGAGATGAAATCTCGACGAGTCATAAAGAATTGAACGTCGTATTGAAAACTACAGTTCTCTCGTCCCCTAGACGACGGCGTTAATAAATAATTGTGAAAAAAGTAACAAAAATCGGAACCGAGGTGGTTATCGATTGTCAATGGGAAACTACATCCTTGCTTCCGCGTGTTGTGACCTAAACGTATGTTGGTCAACGATCGAACGCAGGGTAATATTCTCGGTGATAACGCGATTCAAATTACATCTGAGACGGTTCGCAAAACTTACGTGGGCAGGTGAAATTCAATATCATGCCAATTATGTTGAACTGTTGATACATCTTAACCCTTTCATTACGAGCGTCGGCTGTAGTCGGTACCCACGCGACAACCTGTGTAGACGAGCACCAACTATAATCGATTACCTTTACGTACGAGCGCCGATTACAGTTGATAACGCATTCAATCATATCTGTAGAGTATCAATTGATTGTATTGATCCGTATTGGATTAATCATCCTAAAAGTACACTTTGAACATACGTCACACGTTTTGGCCATCGTGACGAGACGAGAAGGTCGGCTGAAAATACGGTGCATGCCCGGTGCCGGTTTCGTCGGTGCGGATGCAAACGGTCTTAGTCATGGATCAGGTGCGATGCGATGATCTCGTCGTCAGTGATATAAGCTCGGACCGATCTACGCCTGATACAATTCGTTGGCCCTCCGTCTCTGTTGGGACAAGCGAGGGTCGCCGCGGTGTAACTCGTATAAGGACGCGATACTCCAATGCCGAACCGTTTACGCTTCCTTATCGATACGTTATAGTGCACGAGGACCTTTAATCTTGCGAATGTACTTTGCGAGCTTTTAATAGCACTAGATTTGGTACGCTCGCAAATTCTCCGGGTGTTAACCAATGGGAGGGGTCATCGAGAAACTCGTAGGGTCGAATGATGAGCGAAATGCGCCATCCGGGTTTACGCTTCAGCGAGACGATACCGAGGACTCAATGTCCAGGAACCAAACTTCGGGAGTGGGAGGAATGACAATATGTTCTCTCCATTACTGTAGAAAAAGATATGAACGTTTGACCATGTCAAAAAATCAAGCAAAGTCAGGAATTTTTGTTAATTTACCCGGCTCTGATCGCTGGGATGTACGCGAAGATATGGCAGTTTCAATTTTTTACATAGCTCAGAATCGTTGTAGGTGATTTATAGTGGTCGTCGTCGTTGTCGTCAACTCTTAAACCGTAGGGTATATAAATTTTGCACATCTTGATAGGAAGACTTTCATACAGTTTTTTGATAGTCGACAATCGATACCGTCTCTCCCGGAACGTACATGAACTTTTTAGCCTTCTCATCTTTAAAATCATTGAATTTTTGTAGAAAAGGATTTCTTGAAGTTTTTGAGATCACCGGGCCTAATTCCGACAATAGAACTTCAAAATTAAAAATAGCCGACAAAACATTTCAAATGGTTAGACTTTTATTAGAAAAGATTAATCCTATCGCTATCGTACTTTTTAATACATATATAACGCGTGATATAATAAACATTTAAGTGCGTCCTATGGGGTGGATGCTGAAATTTGTTGACAGCGCATATTATTTTTAACCCGCTGCAATGCAGTTGTCACGTCATTGCTTCTACTGCGTCTACAAGCGCCAAGGTACATTGCAAGGATATTTTCAAAGCGCCTACAGGCGCCAA